GATCTTGCGGTTGAGTTCGAGAAAGAAACACTTCTCCAGCTTCTTGTGTGTTCGCTGTGGAAATAAAACACCAGAAGATGGCGAGCCCGATTCTCTTAAGCTTGCTCGATGATTGAAATCTAACGGTATTTTACCTAATTGAAAAAAACAAGCCCCACTGTCTGTGCCAATTGCCGCAGAATAAGTCTCCCCAACATTGGAAAAGACTCATTAAAAGTATGTGGTGTGCTCCGAAAAGGAGCTGCTTCTTCAACGGCGTTGTACTAGGTTGTCTCAACAAACGTGCCGTGAGTTCTGTTTTCTCCAGACTGGGCAAGAGGGCAAGACGAAATATACCCTGTCAACAAACAAACAGCCATGGCATTCGCGTCTCAGCTCCCACTTTGAAAACTTATATAATTTCGTCTATTTTGGAACCAGCATTAACACCAATAATGACGTCAGCCTTGAAATCCAGCGCAGAATCAAGCATGCCAACAGGTGGTACTATAGATTGTGTAGACAATTGTGAAGTAAATTACTTTTTCGACTAACAAAGACCAAACTTTTGATCTCGTCCTACTAAATGACGCTGAGGCATGAACGATGACAACACCTGATGAGTCGAAGTTAGAAGTTTTCGAGAAAAGAGAGTAGCGTAAATTTAAGGTCCTCTGCGCGTTGTGAACGACGAATAGTGCAGCCCGTGGAACGATGTGCTGTATGAGTCATATGGCGACATTGACATAGTTCAGCAAATCAAAAGACAGCGGCTACGTTGGCTGGCTAGGTCATATGGTCTGGATGAGTAAGAAAACTCCGACTTTCAAAGTGTTTGCTGCAGTACCCGCTGGCGCAAGTAGATGAAGAAGAAGATCTCCACTCCGTTGGAAAGACCAGGCGGAAAAGGACCTGGTTGTGCTTGGTATTTCAACTGCGAAAAGAAGGACTTGATTATAATCGCATAAGCTATGCATATGCTTGTAAAGAAGAAGACAAAAATTTGTGCGTTTTTTTTTTTCACTTAGACTAGACGTAGTTGAAGTGTAACTACGCCATTAAACTAGAACACAGTACTTTAAGGAAAATAAGACTTTTAGGTTAGCTTTTCAATTTTTCAACGAGGTTTTTGGGTCGCTTAGTAATAGAGATGAAATAATGAAAAAGTTTTCACAAACTTCAAAAAATTCAAAGCAAAAGAAACACAATTTTAGTTGACAATAAGAAGTAAAATATTCTTGACAATTTCTAATGTGGTTCTCCGTTTTCTATCGTTACTTCGACTGAAACTGTAGCAACTCATTACATTACGCGCGCTTCGAATAATTCAAAATCAAACAAATAATACGCCTCCGACTCTGCGGTCAGCACCGGCGATAATACAGTCATCATTCTGATTAAATGACGATCTGTGTGACACAAATAGACTGACCATGAAAATTATTGTATATAATCTTATTCATTTACAACGAATACCACAATATGACATTGTTAGATTTAATCGTTTAGACTTTAATAATTTTTTTTAATTTTTTTATGAGCGAAACATCTTTTTATGTATTTTTAATTAAAAAATTACTTTTGAAAAAAAAAATAATAATTAAGAACAATAATTTCTTATGTTTTGGCATTTGTGTAATATACTAGGGTTTAAATTAATTTCTGCTATTTTTTGCAATATAAAAATCCGCTTCATGACTTAGGATTCCGGAGACGAGAAAATTTGTTTACCTTAAATAAAAATAAATAAATAAAAGTTAAAGCAAAACAAGTAAAAGGACTAACAAACAATAATAAAAACGCTTTCATTTGTACGCAGCCGAATGCAAATCTACTTTTATATGAATAAATATTTATATAGAAAATATAGTACTTAGCGCTTCCATTTGTTTTTATGCAATTTGTCTGTGCTCAATGTGTATTTCACTAATTACGATTAGCAGTCTCATCATACATATGAAACCCTATACATATTTATAGGTGAATAATAAACATGTATTAGCTCATAGCTCGATAGTAATGACGTCATTGTTAATAATTAAATAATAATTGAGCAAGACATACACGTGCACAGAAATACCTTCAAGTACTTATTCTACAATAATATATTTATATAATTGGCGCTTTTGCACCGCCGCAGCGAATTTCGGCAGAGCTCCTGCTCCTCCTGCAGTTTGGGGTTTTGCGTGTCAACAAATGGAGAAACCTAGAGTCTATTCCAAACCGCCTCCGAACGGCCGATGGACTTTTGTGAAGCAATTTTACTTCATGTCAGTTATATTGTACAATTGGAGAACTTGACAACGCCTGCCGCGGGGCGACCGCCATTAGAAAAATGAATTTTTGAATGTTGGTGGTTGGCCATCTAATGCTGGAGAAAGTAATAAGAAATGTAGAGCTGTGTATAGGAGGTACAATCTGCTATAAGGACGCTCAAATGATATTATGGTATTAATACCAACAGGCACAACGGTTAGTTCTGCTTTCTCCGAACCGGTGAAAGAAGCGACGTGAATGGGTCTGATAGCGAAAGAGGGCAAGCTGAAATATTTCCTATCATCTAACAAGCAATCAGCGAACTTGTGTTCGCGTCCAAGTTTCCATGTCACTGCTGACAGTTGAAATCCAACGCAAAATCAATCTTCTCAACGGATACTACTTTAGCCGACGAACAAATATCAAGATTTACAAGTCGCTCTTTATTCCTACAACATGCAGAAAGGTTGCAGGAGACATTAAGACATGCGCTTAACCTGTTTCTGCATCATCTAGTTATTGACATCTTCATTCGCCGAGCAGAAGGTTCTTATATCAGACTTACAGAGTGGGGTTGTTGGTGTCAAAAATGATTCGGACGCAAATATGTATTAAATTAGTTCACAAAGCTAATAAATAATTCAAATTATAGAAGAATTCAATTCCAGCTGCGGATATCCTCTAGATGTGAATGGAGAAGAAGTTTTTCAGGTGAAGAGAGCGCAAGGAGACGTATTTTACTTTGAATATCTCAAAATCTTTCTGCCACTACGTCCAAAAAATACACCTAGCATCTTCCAAGTAGGTCTGCTGGATACAGAAATTGTTGGCCTTACCGTGGCCAATTACATATTCAAGCGTCGTCAACAATTGCATGAAGACTCTAAGCCTTTGCCAGATCAACTCGTCACCTCGAATATTTATATTCCCAGCCACAGACAATTTCTCGGTAACCAATATTATATAACGAATCGGTCAAGTCCGAAATATTTCTTAACGAAAATGAAGAGAAGATAATACCGTATTCTTTTGATAGCTTCAGTTGCAATTTCAATAAATATCACTCAATAGAAAATCCACATTCAACTGTAAGAGATCAGGTCCAATGCCATCTTATATAGGGTAGCGAAAAGTATACTCGTATATATACTATAATATATAAAAGTCCATTGACTCTTCAGTCATGCCCCAACTGCAAATTAGAAGGGAATAAGAAAACAATGATCTATTTTCTCTGTGAATTTCCAGCTTTCTTGCAACTTCTACGTAAAGTAACCCGAATCCTTCACGTACCAAACCTTGAGTGGCTGTCCATAAAAGGCATATCTGATATACATAAGTAAGTAGTTTCAACGTGATGGAAGTTATGTATCTCTTACAAAAGTACTTTGAAACGGCTATCGGAGCGCTAATTGGAACCCAGGCCTAAACACTGCCGTCAGCTTTCTTACCTACCTACCTCCCTCCCAGCCTACTGTGTGATACAGAATTGATGAATTGATACTAGAAGTTTGAAAAAACGTTTTGCCGGAGATTTACGGTTCTTTGCGCTTTGGCAACGGAGAGCACAACAGGTGATGGAATCATGTGCTGGACGAGATATATGGGGACATAGACATAGTTGAGCGAATGAAGAGACTAGCTGTTTATGACGGAAAACACTCCGAATTTGAAAGTATACGATGGTGAAGTGGCACTGAAAGAAAAACAACTCCACTTCGTTGGAAAGATCGTGTGGAGAGCGATCTGGTTTCATTTGGTATTTGCGATCACCCCAAAACAGCGAGAGAAAGAAACAAGTGACATGTTATTGCTGACCGACTTTCATTATGTAAGCGGTGACTAAGACAACGTAGCGATACTAGTAGAATTAATATTTCTCAAAATCAGACTTCGGAAAGATCTGTTGTAAAGTAATTATGTGCTGTACGGGTTTAAATTGCCCGTAATGCTCAGTTACACAGTCGAGAAAGTCTAAATTCAAACAGGTAGTCAATCCGATCAAATTGGACTTCAAATTGTGTTTACATTCTTTCGATCATTTGAAAATTATAAAAGGCATAAGAAGTGAAGCGGCCGCGGTAGCTGACAGGCTAGCATTTCTAACTGCCATTCGGAAGGCTCGGGTTCAAAACCTGGTGTCGTACTATCATCCAAAAGGTTATAGAAAATTAACTTAAATAAAAAAATGAAATTAAATTTTCTAATTTCGATAGCCCCTCAGCATAGGATGTCAGCCTCCGAGTGTATTTTCGACATGATAAAAAAGGTCTTCATAAAAACACAATCAGCCATTTGGAGGCGGTTCCTCCATTTGTTGGCAAAACAGCAAGACGCAATACCACAAATTGGAGCTCAGTCGAGAATCGTTTAAACGGTAACAAGCGACAATTATATATGTATATATATATGAAGTGAATTTTACTAGTCGAATGTGCTGGAGAATAGAGCACGAATAGCTTGTATAATTTTTATACTTAAATCATTTCCGTATCAGCATTGAATAGCTGGAATTCTTGGAGCTTTGTTTAGTCTTCACTTTATGTAACAAAATCGATCAAAAATCAATTCTCTTATGTTTAAAATTAAGAAGCTTGGCTTTAGGAACCTCTACTCATTTGCACACCCCCGTAGTGCTTATTCCGAAAAGACTCTCCGAACGTCGAAATTCATGAGAAGAGTGAAAGTAAGCAGAGCTCGAAATTATCAAAATCGACGCAAAACATATTTAAGCTGTTAGAAACTCATTCACGTGACATACGTACCTTTCTCAATATTTCTTCTATGCAAGTTTCAAAATCTTAAGACATAATTTGCCTACAGCAGCTGCCAAAGAGAATTTTCAAACACATACACACAACACTAATTAACAAGTTTATGAAGCAAATTATGTATTTTAGACGCTCTAATAGTATTTCGGAGATTTACTTTTATTTTTACACAAACAACTTCTTCGCCTAGCACAAAACCTTTACTGGTCACTATTTCGTTTGCTTTAATTTGCTTTGCTTTAATTACACTTTTTTCCCCAAAAAGTCACTTCGAATGCTCAATATCACTCGATTTGATGTCCTTTGAAAAAATATATTTGAATATTTCCGCTTTCGAAAGTTTTATATTTTCTTGGTTTATTCATAAAAACCTTTTCAATCTAAATGCGGCCAACCGCCAAACCGCCGTCACCAAACAATGTGCATTGGAGAAATTCGCGTTTGTTTCTTTGATCACCATAAAGCGTACTGAATTGATTCTCAGCTGGAGATTTCGATTAGAAGCTCGCCAACCGTTAGCCGGCAATCGCACCAAGCATCAGCTGCCAAAACTATTTTTTTTATTTCATTTTTTTTTTTTTTGGTTTGTTTGTTGTGCCCCACCATCTTCAACACATCATCATCACAGTCTTCCTCATCATCATCATCATGAGCATTACCATCACGCTTAACAGCAGTGGTGAGGAAGTATTTGTGGTAGCAACGACAACAACAATAATGAATGAGCTACACTTGAAAACTACAAATAATATTGTTTAAACAACAACAAGAATAACAACAGCTACAACGGCAGCCGCTTCATAAACCGCTACATCATAGCCCATAATCATGATAAAAGCCATAAATGCCGGCTTGGCAAAGAGCCCAAAGCCAAAAGCCAACCACTAAGTCGACTGAGCTAAGAGACTGCGCCACTGTTAGCCACTAAAAGCAGCTCGTTGTTCATACTAGTGCACGCAGAATCGGCGCAAGCTTAAGCGCGGTTCGGACAAGTGGACAAGTGTGATGCGTGTGGTGTTTACACATCGCTCCCTCTCCGCAATAGATCAAACGGCCCACCCTGCTGTTAGCTGCCGTTCATACGTCATTTTATATATCGTCTTGTTAGCCATGTGAGGCGGTGTTGATCTGCGCATCTTAGCTGCTGGCTTGCTTGCTTGCTGACTACGCTCACTGCTGCTGCGTTGAATGAAACTTAGATCTGGTTGTGGTCGGTCAGTAAGTCAACGAGCGTGTAGCATGCACAGAGATGGATCGGAAGGGAGAAAGAACATTTGGGCGCACCGAGAAAAAGGGGGATATAAATACCAGCTACCAAAAGAAAACACTAAACGCTAAACAAATAACACAAAACATAAAAAAAACAAAAACAAAACACAAATCAAACGTTTTAAGACACAGAATACTCAATATGAAATATTCAAAATGAAAGACTAAACGTAAGCCACCAAATATCGGAGAAAAAACATAAAATATAAGACATAGAACATGAAATATAAAACAATGAAAAAACATTATACATAAACACAAGAAACATAAAACATGGAAAACAAAACACAAAATCTTAGCGCATAAAACGTAACCATAAAATATAAAACATAAATAATGAAATATAAAACAGAAAGCTCAAAACAAAAACGCTGAGCCAAAAAATTTGAAAAATATGAAAAAGTCATAAAACAAAAAAAAAATAAACATAAAACCTAAAACATAAAGCATAAAACTCAAACACATAACATCTACAAAAAAACATTAAACATCAACGAAAAACATAAAATCTAAATATAAAACATAAATCACAAAACGCAAAAAAAAATATTATTAACAAATAAAATATAACATAACAAACGTGAAAAATGAAACATAAACCACTGAGCACAAAACATAGAAGATAACAGATAAAACATTAAACATAAAATAGAAATCAAAAAGCTTGAAACAAAATGCACACAACAAATAACATCAGACAACCAAAAAAAAAAATAAAACCCAAAACAAAAAATATGATAAAAAAACAACAGATGTAACATATTATGAAATATGAAACATGAAACAAAAAATACAAAACATAATATATTAAACATAAAATATGATAAAAAAATATCAATTATCACATACATATAACATGAAACATAAAAAAAAAATTAAAAAAAAAAAAATAAACGCAAATCGCAAAACACAAAACGAGAAATATGAAACATAAAACACTAAACATCAAGCACGAAACACAAAACACTAAACAAAAAACATAAAATATGAAACACAAAACGTAAAACACAAAACACAAATAAAAAATATGAAGCATAAAATATGATAAATAAATAAACCAAAAGTAACACATAAAACTTGAAAAAACCAAAAACACAAAGCATATAACATTAAACAAGAAAAATCCAAGAAACATACAAAACCACAAAACAAAAAAATATGAAACATAAAATTTATGAAAAAATCATCAAATGAAACATATAGAACATAAAACATAAAGCACGAAACACAAAACATAATATATTAAACATAAAATATGATAAGAAAAAATATCGAAATAAAAAAAAAACAAAAAATTAACCACAAATCGCAAAACAAAAAATATGAAACATAAAACACTAAACCCAAAGCACGAAACACAAACCACTAAACAAAAAATATATAACATAAAACATGTAGCATTTAACCTACAATAATATGCAAAACATGAAACGAAAAACACAAAACTCGAGAAACTATTAAGAGTGCACCGCACGACCTTTTCAAAATCTTTTCCAGATCCGCCACTGCTCAAACGAGCTGACCAACATTCAAGCCAAGCTTGATACACACATACACTCATATACTCATACTCTCATACACTCATACATACATATGTATATACGCTTACAAAGCTGATCTGTGAGATTGGCGAAGTTTCAGTTCTTACTTTCTTTTATTGACCACCTCATAGACAACGTTTTTCTTTCATTTCACCTAAATCAAATATTTTATTCTGCTTCTGCTTTGTTTTATTTTTCCCTAATGAAATCGAATGAAAAGGCAACATTGTATTTTTGGTAATTTAAATCTAATTTTTTCTCTTCTAACATTTTCTTTATTTATTTACTTTTGATTGTTGTCATTCTTCTTCTTTCTCGTTTCAATTGTTGTGCTGTTTGGGTTAAGGTTCGCCAGAGGCGCTATTCAATCATACCAAAAAAACAAAAAAAAAAAAACTCAAGGATTGCTATTTTGGTTGTTCCCCTCGAATGCTAGCAAAAGTAATAATCAAAAAGTAATTGAATGAAAAGGTTATCCATAAATAACGGCAACAATAACAAAAACAAAAAATAACATTGCAAATTATAGGCAAAACTCGAAAATCAAACTCCATTTTGAAGCCTCCCCCCTTCCCCCCTGTCTTGAGGGTTGTTGTAGGTGTTGTTGTGTTGTTGTTGTAATTGTTGTAAGTCGCGATGGTTGTGGTGTGTGTGTTTTTTTTTTATTCATTTCAATTAGTAGAAGAGAAAGTTGCAGAGTTGTTGAGTTGAGAGTTCTTCTCCTCGCTTGTACAAAATTCATTTCAAATTGCATCGCTGTTATGTTGCGGTTGTTGCTGGGTTTGTTGTTGTTGTTGTTGTTGTTGTTAGAGTAGTTATCATTTACAATGATTTTTAATAGCATTCATGCATGTAGATGAGCATCAGTAAGGGGAAGATATAAACCTATTAAAATGCATACCGATCTAGTCAGAATGGCGACTTGAGTTGATGTCACCATGCCCAACTGCCCAACTGTCCAACGGAATCGGCCAGATCGGACTTCTATAGCATAAATGTATGTTTGTACATATAAATATATGTCCCATTTTTCAGATTTGAGATTATGGGTCATAAATTTGTCAAAAAAAAAAAAAGATCAAAGAGCGCAAATTTTGGTATTCTTTACACATATGAACCAATACATTGGTGCTGAAAATTATCGATAGTTCCCATACAACCGATTTGTTCAGATATGAAATGTTTGTTCGAAATCCGTCTAAAAACCATCTACAAGCGTAAGATTTGATATTCTACACACGCATGTATAATTTAATACATTTACCGAAAATCATCGAAATCGAATGACTATATCGTATAGCCCCCATACAACCGATTTGTTCAGATGTGAGGTTTCGGATCGTAAATCCCTCATATTCTACACACACATATACATGTTAATATTTTTACCGAAAATCATCGAAATTGGAGGACGACATCGTACTCGTATAGGCCCCATACAACCGATTTGTTCAGATATGAAAATTAATATTTAACCCTAAAGTGCAATGCTATAAATTTCAAATGATCACGTAAGGTATAAAGACTTCGGCGTGACCGAAACCAGTTCTTATTTCTTGTTGTTTTTTTCTGTTTGTTCTAGAATGTGTTACTTTTATATATTTTGGTATAGCATGCAAATCTCATATGTTTCGGGGGAAATTTTTCATAGCCCAAGCTCAGAGAAAGCTTTTTAATGGCTACGTGGCTTGATATGGGGAGGACCAAAAGTTGTTTGTTATAAATATATCTAGGAAAAAATATTAATATTTTTCTTTATCAAATAAAGCAGGAGAAGTGGCCAAATACAAGCACTAATATCTCTATTTAAAAGTAAGAAAAACACTTTCTTCATTCTTCGTAGCCTAAAAGTGTACGCGTAAAGCTGACGCCACATAAAATGTTTTTTTTTTTTTGAAGACTGTTAACTGTTTACGTTTTTCGTTAATTAAATTTTAGGTTCTGTGCGAATTTGAAAATGAACTCTGGCCACTTTTAAAAGTAAAAGCTCATTCAATGAGTAATCTTTTTTGTTATTGTTGTTTTAATTACAAACCTCTCACTTTCATTTTATGAATTTAATGCCCTTAGCGATTTTAAGAAATTTCTAAACACAAATAAATACATTTTTTTTTTCTAAAAATTTATGTAGATATATTCGTGCATACATACGTATATATATAGAGCTATGTTGGCATGACTTTGCAAGCTCCAAGTATTTGTTCATAAAAGATCGCAACTTAGATAG